AATTTGTTTTATGGTTTAGATTGAAATTAGCAAAAGGTTGATCTTAATAAGGTTGATATTAATAAAGATTTACTGTATTTTGCAGGTTAAATATTTACTTATATCTTTTTATTCTCAAATACTTATTTGTTATATTGTCATATTATTACCAACTTAAATTTGATAAATAATGAATAATAGATGCTAAAGAAGTATTATATTATTCTATATAAAGATATGTAACTATACAAAATTTGCCAGGGTGATTTTTTTATAGGTCATATAAGTTTATTAATTATTTTTAATCCAAATTTTCATTATAAGTTATATGATAGTTTTGGACAAAATTAATAATTTGATAATTAACTATTTAAAATAAATAATTATTTATTTTAATTATAAATTTTTATAAAATTAAAATAAAAAAATTTATTAATTTTAGATAAATAGTTATTAGTAATGCAGACAAATTGTTTTAATGAATTTATAACACATAACAAGTTATAGTTATAGTTGTAGCAAAATTATATAATTTCATTCTTCTATACCTATAAATTAATAATATTTTTTAAACTGTATTCTAGGCAAATTTGCATAAAAAATTAAATTATATTTGGTATTTTTTAAATAAAATAATAATTTATTAATAATATAGAGTATATATTTATATTTATTATAAAATATATTCTTGAAAACATATTTTATAAATTTTATCATTTAGCACTTACAAAGGTATTGATATAAGTAAATAGAAGATTATAAATATGTCAATTATATTTCTTGAAGTAAATAATAGTTCAGACCAATAATGTCCTGATTTTTTCCTAACTCTCTATCCCAAATATTGAAAGCTTATAATTACAAGTATATTTATTTAGATACAGTATATTAGTATAGTTAACTATAAAAAAACTATTATATTTAGTTGTATATAATTTTTAAAGGCCCAATATAGGCTAATAATTGTGATTGTCTGACTCTTTATTTTAATTATTGCTTCCCTTCTTTTTATTTGCATCTTTTATCATATTCTCCTTTATCTTTGTTTTTATTTTTATATAATTTTTTTCTTTTTATTTCTTTCTAATTGGTTCTACTAATTATTCACATATTGGAGTATCTGTTTTTTTTCATCCTCACTCTCTCACTATAAAAATTACCATTCTTTCTAAAGAAATTAATTCACTAATAATTACGATCAGAAATTAAACTTAGCAAAAGAGTTCATAAATAGGGATGAGTATCGATTCTAAAAACCACAATCGATGGTCGGTTTTCTAAGCTGATTAAATAATAATCAAATTTATTTATCATTTCTAAAAAACTTCAAATTACCGAAACTGTTTAGAATTTTATTATAATTGGTTGACTTATTTTTACAATAATTATCATTATATAAGTTAGATCGTACTGTGAAACCTTTCTTAGCTTTTAGTTAGTCTCTTATCTGGATTTAGCGCTTCTTTTAGTTTTTACTAGATTTTTTTCGAGACATGAATTGATTTAGATAAGAATATTTCATTATCAATAATTAGTATTACGCTGCTCGTCATATCTAATTATTGGTTTGGATGGGGTGACAAAGCACCCATATGTCAGGTTTTAATAATCACTGTGCTGCTAAATCTTTCCTTAGATTTAATTTATTCATATCAATTTAGCGATCTATATATTTCCAAATAGCATTACACTCTTTATAAATTAATTAATAAAATAATGTGAAACTTTCCATTTTATAACAAAATAAAGAAAATTTTTCAGATTAAACTAGATAGCTGCGAGACGTTATTGCACAAATCAGGGATGGAAAACCTAAAAAAGCAAAAAGTTTATTATAAACTTGACTGCTACCCTATAAAAAAAAAGTCGAACCGTGTTTTATATTCCGTGTTTTGTTGATTATTCGGGTTGTCTAGATTTTGTCGATCATGTTGCAGATTCACAAAAAAATATGGAGAAATAACGGAAATATTCGGAAAAATTTTTTTACAGAGCTAGATAAACTCACATGTATGAATTCGTGTCTAACCGATTACTCTACCACTTTTTCATCTATCAAATCAATCAATGTGACATTTATTTACACTGATTTTAGTATCGAGATGCTATCAAATAATTATCTAAATGTAAAATATTGGTAAATAAAGAAAAATATCGATTTCCATTTTTTTCATTGAAGTTAATGTCACTCCCATGTGATGCTATTGTGCGAGCGGCATTAACTCTGATAAAAGAAACTTTCTGTCGTATAATAGTTGTTTCCACCTCTACAGTAAATATCTATGTGCATTAATAGATTATTTTAGTTGATCTCTAATACTCAAATAATAAAATAATCTTATTATACAGTAGAACTAATTTAATACAAATTACATGAAAAGTAATTAGTTTATCTTAAGTACTTCGATTATACTGTAAATTATTATAATATTTTAATAATATTTTGATAAACGACTATTAACTCGCAGTCTAAATAAACACTAATAAAAAGAAATAAAATAAGAAACGAGTAGATCATAAGTACGTCGATGCCAATTAATAAATAATCATTACAACTGGCACTTACAGGCTAAGTTAACGTGAATAAGAATAAATTAAATGAGAAGTAAATAATATATGAGAGATGCCAAGGAAAATCCGGACTTCGATTATATAAATTTTATATGAATGAAGTTTGGTTTTCCCTCGGTGTCATCTATATAAAAAAATTAAATAAGTGTTAGCTTACCTTTGAATAACCGATTGAAATAGCAATTAAATCAATACAAAAAATTGAATGTAAACTAATTAAGTGATAGCTTATCTTTGAATAATTCGATTAAACAACATAAAGAAATTGAATAAGAAATGAATAATTTATTTTAAATTATCTGATTAAAATCAATACGAATAAATAAGATACGTAAACTTTAATAGCTTATCACTTCACTTATTGAAATAATTGGAGAAACACTTCACTAACGTCGGATAGATTAGCGTTAGTGGAGCAACCAAAATTCAGCAGATCGACCAAAATTTAGGGTCGGAATAGGCCGGAATCGATCGATTTCTCCCAAAAATCAACCAAAATTTTACTAATGAAATGGTAGCTTACGTACTAAGTAAAGCTACCCAATAATAATTTTGCTGTATTATAGTTGGCTTGGATTATTGCTTAATGCCTGCCTAGCTCCGGCCTATCCCGACCCTAAATATTGGTCGATCTACTGAATTTTAGTTGCTCCACTAATCTATCCACTAAGGTCATATCTTTCCAAACTCTAATCAGTGATAAAACAACCCTATAAAGAAAAATGAAAAATACCAAAAGATCCTGTGAATATATATGAAAATTTGAATCTGGTCACTAATATTATGCCCGAAAATCATGTTTTTACTATCATTTGTTACAACATTTGAATATAAGAATTTTAAAACTTAATTGTGAAATAGATCATGAGAAAAGCAATAAATATAAATTCAGGTGTGGATCAAATCGTGCGCAGAAGTTGCCTATATATAGAAGAAAGTATTACATATGCCCCTGTGATGGTGCTACGTGTGAAGTTCCTGATACGCATTCACATCCTTTGCTTTGCCACATATATCATCCAATAAATGCAGGATTTTGCAACACACACCATTTAATTTGCTATATAACCATACACTTCGTGAAATTTTTAATATCACTCCGTTCTTGGTATATCGGTGTTTATGTTCCTAGTTTTTAGTGCGACAGGTCGCACAGCTACCTTATTTATTCATTAATTCAACACTAGTGGCATCTTAAAATACATGTTGATTTTTAAGGAAATTTTTAAAAAAACCCTGGAAATTTTTATAACCACTTGGTTAAACAAAGCAAGGTCTAGTACAAATGGATGTTATACTAAAGAATTGGAATTTGCCAAAAAATCTTTGGAATTGGCTTTTTGTGATAATTATCTGCCGATCACAATAATTTGAAAAGCACAATAAATTACGTGCTCTGAAATAAATTTATTATATGAGTGCCCACAAAATATTATACAATTTTGACCAATCAAATTTCAGGATCAGCCTGATCTTGAAATTTGATTGGTCAAAATCGTACAAAATATTGTGGGTTTTTACTCTCGAGCACTCATATCGATATTGTTATATTTAATGATTATTTAATGATTATAAATCATAGTAAATACGCAGTTTATTATAAGTATGTACGTATTTTAAATCTTGGGGTGTGAGCAGTAATGATTAAATCCGGATTTAAGGAGTATAAATTCTACAAGAAGATTATAATAATAATAATAATAATAACACATTTTTTCACCATATATTACTATAAATTTTCGTCATATATAATGTTTAATTGCTGTAGATTAAACTAAATATATTAGTAAATAATTTAAGCTTCATACGTAAATGATTTTGGTGGTCATGTTCTCTTTGTTCGCAACTTTCCTTTAACGGCACCCATATACTGTCGTTATTAACTGACACAAGTAATCAAATTTACTTTTTTCTCATTTACAAATCGTATTACAAGTATTATCGGTTGAGATTTGGCACCTCATGGCAAAAAGAAAAAAAACCCCGAAATAAACCCACGATCATAAGAGAAGAATCTACACGGTAATCCTATTTATCTGATTATTTGTTAGAAACTCTATTTGTCTGAACGGATAAACGCATTCACTCTTTTTTTGTTGATAGAACATAAATTTTTTTGTCCACCACCTTGCGGAACCTATACGCAATACGAAACTATTATCTTACTGTGTGATTGTGTAACGTTAAATTAGTTACTGTACGGGTATGCAGTGAATAATCTAGACACACGGGTTCATATTCGTAGTCGAACACGAAGGCCATGGGATTTAAACATGATCCGTGTGTAACTAGGTTATTCAATATACCCGTGTAATAATTATCTTATTGCACGGTGTCTGACGTACAATAATCAATTGAAAAGCACGGGTTGTTACATACGTAATACCCGTGCATTAAATAGGTTAACTCAACCAAAATTTAGAAGCTCTTTTTAACTTCAATTCAGGCACATGTATAGAGGATTTTATCAGCGCGATTTCGAATACGGGTTTTGCCCGGACTGCAAACTACTAAATACATCTTTAAATTGGTGTCAAAAATGTAATGCTAAAAGATTTCATCAACAGTTTCCAAATTGGACCAGTGGTGACCAGAATATTGATAGGTTTTTGCATGAAGCTCAACTTTCTGCTATGAGCTCTTGGGAAGTTTTAGAATGGATTCCGTACGATCAATTCAGAGAAATAACATATCTTGCAAAAGGAGGTTTTAGTACTATATACAAGGCTATTTGGATTGATGGAAATATTTATAAATGGGATCATGAAAAAAATGATTGGATTCGAATACAATGTGAAATTTTTGATGATTGGACTTATCGTATCAATGATAATAATCAAATATTAACGAGAGGTAAAATGGTTGTACTAAAAAGTCTTAAAAATTCGTCAAATGTGAATGAATGTTTTTTAAACGAAGTGAGCTCATTTTTATCATTAAATAGTTGTTGCATTATATAAAGTTTAATACTTATTTTACCGTATTTTTTCATATTACTTTTATAGTGGAAACGTCATTTACAATCAATTAAATCTGCAAGGAAAATTGGATCAATGCTATTTCCATTAGTTGGAATAACTAAAAACCCAGAAACTTCTGAATATATGATTGTAATGAAATATGCTCGAGGCGGAAGTCTTAGAAAAAATTTACAAAAAATTTGTAAATGGAAATGGAAAAGAAGATTGAAAATCCTACGTCATATTATATCTGGGCTTATTGGAATCCATCAATCAGACTTAGTTCATAAAGATTTACATAGTGGAAATATACTTTTTTATGGAGATCCGGAAAATAGTATGTATAAAAATGCTTCATTGATAACGGACCTTGGATTAGCAGCTCCAGTGAACAGCTATGTTTCGAAAAGAGAAGAATTATATGGTGTACTTCCTTATATAGCACCTGAAGTATTAATAGGTAATCCTTATACTAAAGCAGCGGATATTTACAGTTTTGGAATGTTAATGTGGGAAATTGCATCTGGAGAACCTCCATTTAATAATGTTCCACATGACATCTATTTAAGTTTTCATATTGTAGCTGGTGGCAGACCAGAAATTAATGACTATATACCACAATGCTATGCATCTCTAATGGAAAGTTGTTGGAATTCGGACCCAAAAAAACGACCAGCAGCTAATAAATTAGGAGATATTATTATTAACTGGTCGACTTCTTATACAGAAATCGAAGATCTTGAGATTAAACACGCTATCGAACAATTTCAAAATGCTGATATAAAGTTGCAGGAGATTCAATTGATTTCTAAGCCTAGAAAATTACATCACCCAAAAGCATATTATAATAGCCGACTGCTCAATCCTTTTGCGTTAAATAATCTTCGTGAATATGAAAAACGTAAAACTACTGAAATTAATATAAATTGTGATGAAACTTTTAGTGAAAATATGGGTATTTATTGATTATGGTATTAATTAATATTTTACTTTGATCAATTTTAATTTATTAATAAATAAATAAATTTATTTTCGTCATTTTAGAATCAACGAGTAATGAACTTCGTAGGTTAAAAGGATCTAACCCAGTGTCGCGAAATTTAAGCTAAGAAAATTATATTCTTAGTGTTATACGGTGATCTTGTAAAATTATCATAACGATAATTATTAGAAGCAGATTATTTAGTTAGTAATACTAAAAAATAAATTTCAAGTTGAAATTCTTTAATTAATTAATTAATTAATTAATTAACAAGATATTACGGTTAATATTGTAAATTGACGTAATTTTCATAACTATAAGTTTCGGCAATTAGAATTCATATAATTTTTTTTTATTATACATATCATTCATGACGGAGTTTATCTTTAATGACAAAGAGCAATGTACAATTTGGGTTTATGGATTTTTTTGATTTTATCTTTATCTCATTAGTTTTTCTAACGTTTTTCTACCGGTCTAATAAATTAAAAATTGCTGTTTAATAAAACGAACTAATTATTATTTAAAGCCATCTCTTTGATAGAGGCTTCGTGACATCACTCAAACCTCAGCTACTGCTTACATAATGTACAATATTCCAAGCATTTCGGTTTATTCTAATACATCTCAGTAGAGAAATCCAACCTTATTGTTATTAAAACAGAATTAATGTTGGACTGAGGATAAATTAGTCCTAGCTGTAGGTCTCTGTGATAATTCATGTAACCCATTTAAACAATGTAACGCATAATTATTCAATAAAGACCAAGGCCAGGCCT